TCAATAGAATTTGGCAAAGGTGATGGGATGTCATTTACTTCCATTATATTTTATTACATTCTATCTTAGCTGACTAGAGAGAGAAATGAAAGAGAATGGGAGATATGGAGGGAGGAAAGTTAGATGCAGAACCAGGAACAGCATTCTGTTTTAAGTTCCAGTGACACCCAGTACATAACTATTTCAAATTTATTAATTCATCCAATCATCCAGCACACATTTATAGAGCATTTTCTGTTTGCAATGAGGTAGGTATAGTGTATCTTAGTGATTCAGAGCGTGGACTCTGGAGTCAAAGTACCTGGATTCAAACCCCATGTGCAAAATACTCTCTAGATTCCTTGTAAAAGTTCATTAACCTCTATAATGCCTCATCTACAAAATGGGAATACTCATTATATGCACCTAACAAGATTTTATGAGAATCAAGGGGGTTGATGTATATAAAGCACTTGGAAGAGTGCCTGGTACATGGTAAAAAAACACTTGGCTTTTATCACCATTGTCATTATTATGGATAACATTAATGTTGTTATGCAGAATAAGTTGGTTATGAGCCTCTCCTCCAGAAAAAAACCATGCGATTATTAAATGAGATAATATGTCAAGTGCTGAGAACATTGTCTGGCATATAGAAAAATTTTATAGGTATTAGATATTTTATATATATATAATACTCTCTATCTTCATTATAATAATAGTAGTATAGTATTAACATTTATTATTAGTGGTTACTCTTGTCCACCTCCTCCTACGAAACAGTGAAATATAAAATACTATCCATGGAGTTAATATTTTCCTTTGCATTTTGTTTGGACAGTGGTAAGGTGGTGTAGCATTATTCAGTGGCTCAGTATCACACAGCTCCAGTGAGTTGCATCCTTTTTCTAAGTCATTTCTTGGTCCACATGGCTGCCTGAACTCTACCTTGGTCAATTAGGAAGGAAGAGAAAGGAGGAAAGTGATAAAAAAAGCCCAATCTAGCTGTTTATCCCTCTTTGGAGGTGACTTCTGTGGAATCTTCACAGCAATTTCTGCTTGCATTCTTTGGCAAGAAATTCCAATCATATGACCATGGCTTACAGTGAGGGAGTCTGGGAAAAGTAGTATTTTAGGAGCTCACACTGCCACCCTGAATACAATTGGGGTTCTGCTAACAAGGAAGAATGCAAAGAGTGGATTTCAGGTGGGCGACTAGAAGTTCCTGTCCCATTCATTATAAATATGATGCAAGGTTGTAAAAAAGCATTAAACAAATAATAGTAGTCTCTAAAAGATTGAAAGGGAAAACTTCCTGTGGCAGAAAGAATGCTACATGTTCACCAAACTGTTTCATTGTCTTCCTGGGGTCATAGAGATACTACATTCCCCAGGCTCTATGGCAGTTGAGGCTCCATATCTGAGTTCTGGCTAGTGGACTGTGGCCGTTGGTGGTGTTTGCCAGACCTGGCCCCGAAAAGCTTCCACAGGACTCTCTATCCTCCCTCTTCTTTAGACTACTAGCTAGATGCAAAGAATGCAGTAAAGGACTTCAGGGCGCAAGAAGATAGTAGAGCCATAGATTGGATGGAAGAAAGTTGGGTCCCTTAATGACTGCTGGGAATTGAGAACTCAGCCCCTTTCTGGGCACATGATGACCTACATTGAACTTTGACATAAGTAAAATAAAGTTTTTAGGGATTGAACTTCTGAGATTTAGGGGTTGTTCATAGCACAAAGCATTACATATTCTAATTGTTAAAAGTCTCCAGTAATACACTAGCCTAGAAATGATATTCATTAATTTATTGGTATTTATTATTCCAATATTCATGCTTATGTAAAGGTAGATTTTTAAAAATTATATATTGGAGTAGTACTACATATTATATGATACAGAGGCCAAATAAACTACTTCATTTCCAAAAATTGTAACTAATGATACTTAAAATTGGCTTTCTTAGTGAAATCAGGAATCTAAATTTAACACAGCATTTTAATAAAGAGAATGTGCAAAATATATTCATACATAAAAATACATGTAAAATTCCAAAATTAATTCCCCTCACATTTAAGTTGCCCAAGTGAAAAACAACAAAAGATAAGAAGAAGGAACTGCCAATTACTGATAAGGGCATATGAAATGGGTACTTTCCTGCCAAACCAATTACTTTCAGCCTCTATTCAGAAATAACCATGTATGTGAAGAAATCTCTAAAACTTTCCTGAAGAGTTTAAGAGAATGTAATAAAAGGAGAGATGAATAATGTCCTGTAAACAAACAGACAAAAAAATTATAAAGCAAATTCTCCCTCAAATAATGTACAGTTTTGATGCAATCTAAATCAGTATCCTTAGTGGTCCACTTTAACGGAGCTTGACCAGTTGGGTTTTAAATTCAGCTGTAGAGGTAAGATGCCAGAGAAGGGAAGAAAAAAACATATAAAAATATTTTAACTGGTTTTTTATTATATGGTAAAGTGATTTGCCACCTCTTTTCTTCAAGCAATCACGTCCCCTGAGGGTTTGAATGGAAATTAGCACACTTGTTGCCATTTCACTTTAAAGTTCTTTTAAAAAGACCATCCCTAGACTTCAACACTTCAGCGGTTTCTCTTGACAATTCCCCCTCCTCTAATTCAGGGAGGGGCCTTCTGCTCTTCCTCACAGCCAGGGGGTGGAGCCTCTTCTGAGTCCCTTGGAAAGGAGCTGTGCCTGGCCAGTCTTGGAGGAGGAGCTGCCTTTCACCAGACTGCAGCTGACAAGAAGCTTCAAGGTAATGGCTGTCATAAAGCTAGTTATTTTCTAGTGACTTCTCAGGGCTCTATAGTACAGATGAGACAAATAGGGATGGCGGTCTTGGAGTGGTGGGAACAGTGTGTGCTTTTGAGAGAATTGCTGGCATTTTAAAGGAATTAATCCTCTGGAATTTTTGTATCTTCCAATGCTTTATAAGTCCACAGGAGAAGGGGTGATCAGATTACAGCCTCTATATTAAGGCTTCAGTGTAGCATGGCTGTTCATGCTAATTTATTGACTTGGCATTCCATGTTTATGTGGCTAGACATTCTGTTGCTTGATTTTGTAAGCATCTATTAAATTGCACAGCAAAATAACTGTTAGAAGTATTTGACAGCATAGAGAAAATACTCCTATATGTTGATTGATACATAGAAAGACTATATATGTGTCACATGTACATGAGCATGGAGAAGGGATCAAATGTGTAATTGAGTGAAGTTACTTGCACATAATATATGCATATATATATATATATATATGATTAGAAAAAGATCTGGAAGAAAATAAACTCCCTTGTTAACATTCAGCACTTCTGTGTGGTCAGGTTACTTTTTAAACCTATTTCAGCATCTTTATAGTAGATTTCCTAATGATTATTTTACAGTAATGACAGAAAAATGAAGCTGAAACAGCATACCCATTTTGTTTCAAATACATAAACACATAGACATGTTCCCATGCCCCCCTTGTCTTTTGATGATAGTGGAAATTTTCCTAGACCTGATCAAATGGGTAGCCTGTTTGCTGTGTCAACTATAGCCCTGCGTATGTCTTCCTTGCATTTCATTCTTTCAGGCAACAGATAGGTCTGTGGTCAGAAAGAACCATTTTTCCACATCATCTAAGTTTAAGAGTGAGACAGATAATTTGGTTTATGTCCATAAGCAGTTTTTAAAATATTACATGGCATGGTACATCCATACAGTGAAATACTATGTATCTGGCAAATAGAAACATGAATCTCTCCATGTAGTGATTTGAAAATGTCTGAGAAATAGTATAAGGTGAAAAAAGAAAATTATAGAATAGTAGATATCATATGATCTCACTTAAGAATAAATATGCATGTTAGTATACCTATATATGTTACCACAGTATATACCACCAAATCTGGAAAAAAATATTATCTGCAAAAGTATTAACAGGATTATTTGCATAATTGGAGAGACAGGGCTTTACTGTTTCCTAGCTTTTAAAAAATATTAATATATACTTGTTTATTTTTTACATATTCAGGGAAATATTGAGACACAATGTTACACACATGGGAAAAACCTCATTTAATTTATAAAAAAATTATGTGGAAAATATTTATGTAGAATGATGTTCAAGCCATGCTTTTGAGTGGGGTCTGAAGCTGGTTTCAAATAATATACATCCATCTATATATATAAAAAATTCTGGAAAGATATATAGAAAATATTCATAGCGGTTATTTGTATAGAGTTGTACTTTCTTTTGCATGTTTTTCTGCATCTTCTTAATTTTTAATAAGCTTCTAGATGTTTTCATAATCAGAAATATTTTACTTGAAGACATTATGGTCCAATTATAATCCCACAGAACAAAACCCTTAAACCTAGCATAGAAAATTCTAGAAGCCTGAGTAGGCTTCTGGCTGTCTGGATGTAGTTCCCATCCTTCTCCCATAGAAAGGACCTGGTAGTGATTGAGGTCTTGCCTCCATCACTCATGGGTAGGTTGCAGTTCTGGTTGTCATCACAAGATGGCACTTGCCAGGTTTCCTAAATTTTCTTCAGGCGACCATTTTTATGAAGCAGGCAAACAAAGCAATAAAACTATTTTGTATTAGTAGACTGTGAGACAGCATGTATACTGTAACAATGATTCCATTGAAATGTATAGAGAAGAAAAAAATCTATGTAATGACTGATGTGACAATTCAAACAGAAAAATCTAAAAGTCTGGCTCATAGTAGACACAAGGCAATTGCAACTTCCTTCTCTCCTGTCTCCCAATCCACCTCATGCTTTTCCTGAGAGATGATATCAACATGAACAAAATGACAGAACTGTGTCCCAGAGAGCATTTCATACTATAAGAACATGAAGGAAATTATACATGGCATCTACATCACAGATGAGATTTCACCTCATTTATGTGTTTCAGAATGACATGCCTGTTAGAGATTTGGTAGGGAAATTTCTTTACACCTTTTCCATTTAGTTGATTTGACTCTCTGTCTTCCTTTTGGACAGCCTAGGTTAATATCAGAGATACACGTGACCTGGACAATCTGCATGTGATGCCAGGATAGCCTCAGAAAGTCAGTGCAACCACAGAAGTGCCAAGCAGGTTAAAGGCCCTTTTGGACAAGCAGTTGGAGTGAGAATCAAGACAGCCGGATCATAGGGCCAGACCTTCCAGGATCTACATGACAGTGGGTAAGACTCTTCCCATTTCACAAAACACTTCACATTAAAAATAATTTTTTTTTTTTGAGACAGAGTCTCACTCCGTTCCCCGGGCTAGAGTGCCGTGGCTTCAGCCTAGCTCACGGCAACCTCAGTCTCCTGGGCTCAAGTGATCCTCCTGCCTCAGCCTCCCGAGTAGCTGGGACTACAGGCATGTGCCACCATGCCCGGCTAATTTTCTCTTTATATATATATTTTTAGTTGTCCAGATAATTTCTTTCTATTTTTAGTAGAGATGGGGTCTCGCTCTTGCTCAGGTTGGTCTCGAACTCCTGACCTTAGGCGATCCACCTGCCTTGGCCTCCCAGAGTGGTAGGATTACAAGCGTGAGCCACCACGCCCGGCCCACATTAAAAATATTTTATGAACTTGGGGAATAATATATTCTGCTTCCTGCTCTGCAGCCATGGCATTTTAAATTAAAAGCCACATTTCCACATCTTTGTAATTGTGAATTGTGCTGCTGTAAACATTCTAGTGCAGATGTCTTTTTTATAGAATGTCTTTTGTTCTTTTGTGTAGATGTCCAGTAATGGGATTGCTGGATCAAATGGTAGTTCTACTTGTAGCTCTTTGAGGTATCTCCATATTAATTTCCACAGAGGTTGTACTAGTTTGCAGTCCCACCAGCAGTGTATGAGTGTTCCTATCTCTCCGCATCCATACCAACATTTATTGTTTTGGGACTTTTTGATAAAGGCCATGAGTGGATTAATAAAATGTGGTATATGTATACCATGGTGTTCTACTCAGCCACAAAAAACAATGGTGATCTAGCACCTCTTGTATTATCCTGGATAGAGCTGGAGCCCATTCTACTAAGTGAAGTATCACAAGAATGGAAAAACAAGCACCACATATACTCACCATCAAATTGGTATTAACTGATCAACACTTAAGTGCACATATAGTAATAACATTCATCGGGTGTCAGGCAGATGGGAGGGGGGAGTAGGGGATGGGCATATTCACACCTAATGGGTGTGGTGCACACCATCTGGGGGATGGACACGCTTGGAGCTCTGACTCAGGTGGGGCAAAGACAATATACGTAACCTAAACATTTGTACCCTAGTAATATGCTGAAAAAAAAAAATTTAAATTAAAAAAAATAAAAAAAGCCACATTTCATGTTAAAATCATGTTAGGTTGAGAATTTGGGGTATAATTCGTTTTGTTCCCTGTTCTGCAGCCATGTCATTTTATAATTAAAAGTCATAACTTCTGGCTTTGGGAAAGGATCTCATGTGTTAAACCATTATGAAGAAATCATGCAAGAAGCTATTCAGGTGTCTACCTGAGGTTCCAGCCAATGAATGGCCTAACTCTCCAATCCTTGATAAGTACTCTATCCAATAAGTGGTCATGGCAGCCATTCTGTATCTCTGCCTTCTAAGCCTTTGCTTTTAAAAAGGTCATTGTATTGTTTCTAGGTCCAGGAGATAGAGACCCTCTAGTCTTTGTCTGCCTGCTTTGGGGGAACAAAGCACTTTACCCAGAATAATTTGCCCAAGCTAAAAATTGCAGCTTAAAAATTATAAAGCTGTGTGTTCAGCTAGAACACTGCTTCTCAAAACATTCTTGGACATGTATCATTAGAAATCTAATCTTGCTCTTGCAGCTTAAAAATTACTATGTGTTCAGCTAGAACATTGCTTCTCAAAAAGTTCTTTGTACATGTAGCGTTAGAATCACTTAAGAACGTTTTAGAAATACAAAATTGTGAATTCAATTCAAACCTTCTGAACAAAACTATCAGCATGGGGCCTAGAAATCTAAAAAGTCTTTCAGATGATTCTGATGCATCCTAAGTTTGGAGGCACAAAAGTACCAAAGTATCTAATAAGATAAATAGAATTCCTGACACACGACCACAAGCTCTCCCACCTCTGCCCCTATATACACACATTCACTCCTTAATAAGCATGTACAATCATAAGGGCAAGTTCTTGAATTTGAGGTATTTTAAAATGACTTTTCCAATTTTTATGCCCCCTTTATATTATGCTACATTTTCATCCTCTGTTTGATGCCCCACTGGGCATTGTTCTTTCTTTTATCGCTTCTCTATTTGCAATTGCTCACCTTTTACTTTGGCAAAATAATTTTATTTGCTGATACTTTTCTTCTTTTCCTTTTCCCTATCTCAGTATCTTCCAGTATTATTCATACAACGCACTCAAGCATCCGTGGAAATTGAAGTGGAGAAGGACAGACCACACAAACTGTAAACCCTTTGTAGTTCTAAGACAAAAGGGGCTTTGATATAAGTATTGGTTTTGGTAGGACCTGCCTTAGCAGTAACAAGAACAGCTAGCCACCTCAACCTCTGATAATAACCCTTGGCACACAAATCTAAATCATAATGGATGCCCAGTATGTCCTATGCAATTGGAAAGACCAGTTATGGCCAGCAAAAGTTTTGTCCAGATCTGAAACTTCATCAGACAGTAAGAGAAAAAAGACATTTTCCCTAGAAGTTCAGATACTCTCACTAGATGAAAAAATTAAAGTGGACAGCACAGAAACAAAGATCCTAGATAAATCTCAAATTGAAGCCATTGCCTCCTCACTAGCAGTACAGTCAGAGGTCAGTGCTCCACCTGCAGAGGAAACGGCCTATGGAAGATCTCTAAAAGTGGCACTGGATATTCTGAATGAGAGAACAAATTTGAGTGAATCAAGCATTTCAGATGAAGAGGAGACCAGTATACTGTTTCAAAATGAACCACAAAACCTGTCTGATTCACCCCCTCGTAAGAAGTATCGAAAGCACGAAGGGGACTTACCAAAGTATCTTGAAGAGAGTGAAAACTCACCATACCTGTTGATATCTTCAGAGAGTGATGATTCCCTGTATGATGACAAATCACAGATAGAAACAACCATTGGTACTATTCCAAGTGAAACTGAGACAAAGTCATCACAAAACTCTAGCTGGTGCCAGACTTTCCCTTCACTTTCAGATGATGATGATGATGAAAAAGAGGACAAGAAAAAGGCTAATATCTCAACAGTTGTGTTTGTGCACTCCACAGTCAAAGAGGAGGGTACATGTGTTAAAGACGAAAAATGTGTTCCACCTTCGCCATCAGATATCCTCATTGTGCCCAAAGCTTTGAAAGAGGAGACACAAGGTATCTGCCCAGAGACCCTGGCTGTTTCCTCTGAATGCTCTGTCCTCTCAGAGAATGGTGAGGATCCTGGAGAGGGTCCCTCAAATCCATGCTTTGATGCCAGCGAGAATCAACCTCCCGTGGAATCAGAGATGGGTGCCACGGCATTCACTGAGAGTTGTTCATGGGAAAGCCAGCCTTCTTTTAGTGCCTCTAATCCTGTCTTGGATTATTCACTTCCTGCGAATAATGAAGGAAATCTTCAGAGCCCGGATTTGGAGGAACTTGAGGAAGAAGTTCAAGCTTCTGACAAATCATTGCCTCTAGATCCTGTTAATGCTTCCTTGTTAGATGATGATGAGGAAGAGGAAGAACTTCCACGCTTCCTTTTGCATTATGAGCCACGTTCGTTTGAAACAGGAATGATAGTCTGGTTTAAATATCAAAAATACCCATTTTGGCCAGCAGTGGTAAAAAGCATCAGACGAAAAGAGAGGAAAGCAAGTGTGCTTTTTGTTGAGGCAAACATGAATCCTGAAAAGAAAGGCATTAGAGTAACTTTTAGAAGATTAAAGAAATTTGATTGTAAAGAGAAACAAACACTAGTGGATAAAGCCAGGGAGGAGTACAGTGAAAGTATTGACTGGTGCATTTCGCTGATTTGTGACTACAGAGTTAGAATAGGTTGTGGCTCTTTTTCAGGCTCTTTCCTTGAGTATTATGCTGCTGACATTAGTTATCCAATTAGGAAAGTAATCAAACAGGATACCTTCAGGAACATGTTTCCAAAGCTCCATAACGAGGATAGTGGGGAATCCATGGTTGTGACTTCCCAGGCCAAGAAAATGTCCTTCCAGAAAATTCTCCCTGACCGGATGAAGGCTGCTCGGGACCGAGCCAACAGGAACCTAGTGGACTTCATTGTGAATGCAAAGGGAACAGAGGACCATCTTCTGGCTATTTTAAAAGGCACAAAAGGATCCAGATGGCTGAAATCGTTTTTGAACGCAAACAGGTTCATGCCCTGCATTGAAACATACTTTGAGGATGAAGATCAGTTGGACGAGGTGGTCAAATATTTACAAGAAGTCTACAAACAAATAGATGAAAGAATGCTGACTCTGATAAAAGATGATAAAATTAAGTTTATCCTGGAAGTTCTTCTGCCAGAAGCAATTATTTGTTCAATTTCTGCTGTTGATGGGTTAGATTACAAGGCAGCTGAAGCAAAGTATCTAAAAGGACCATCTTTAGGCTACAGGGAAAGAGAATTATTTGATGCCAAAATCATATTCGAAAAGAGACGGAGACCATTAACAAATGAAGCTCATTAAATTTCCTGAGAGTCGAAACCATAACAGGGAGCTTTCGTAGATGCTAGTTTTAAAAAAAATCTCTGAAAGGTTCTCTCTAACATGTAAATATTTTTTGAAAAAGGGCTTTAGGTAATGTGTTCAATTGTTTTGAGATCTCTAGGATCTGTGGGTATCACTACATCTTTATTTCCTTTGCTTGTGCTTCTTCAAAGTCAATTTTGTCAACATATTTCAGCAGTTCTGCTTTCCCATACATTTTTAGAATGCATAATTCCTATGTAACTTTTAAGAGAAAGTATTATTTTGTTTTATGACATATCCGTGTCTGTGCTGTATAGTTAAATACACTGGGCACAATTATTTTAATATTAAAATTGCACTGGTACTAGATATTAAGCAAGAAAATTAGAAAAATGTCTAAAAGAAATGTCGATTATATTTTTTTGCTTAATTTTTATAAAATATTGGGTTTTCTCTTGAGATAGTTGAATTATTTTTCCTGCCATGCCTATTTATTTTTGGAAAAAAAATCTCTGAGACATAGAACCAAAGATAGATATGCTTTGCTATATAGTATAACTATAATTGCTTTTGCAATAACACATCTTGAAATTCAAAAATAAATATATATCTGCATGTTGACTATATGTATGCAAACAACATCTCAGCATGCAGAAAATAATTTTGGCAGCCTTGAACAGGATTGTTCATTCTATACTTTCTTGAAATTCCATTTTTGGAAGTGTTTATCCTTCAGTAGCTGAATAGTTTCTTAAAACAGGCTTCTGGCTGTCTTCATAACTAACAGTGAGTAGATCTTCTTAATATAGCTGTCCGATATGTGTAAGGCAGCTATAGTCATTGTAGTCATAGTCTGGCCACTGTAGGCCTATGAGTCCAGGCTGACTGCTTAAGAGCCCATCTATTATAGTTTGATATAAACTGTAGAAAAAGTAAGCATTTTGTTCTGAGTCTTTTATCTCCAAATATATAGTCATTTGTCTCAAACCAAGCAAGCTTTATCATCTGGCTTATTCGTAGAATAGTTCCAGTTGTTTCCAGTAATATAAATGATGACTGCTAGTAAGTCATTCCAAGGTGCTGGAAGGAGTAGATGGACCAGAATCTGGGGAGTTGAAAATAGGTCACAGAAAAAGCCTTCATTTGGCTAAATATGATAATTAATCTGAATATGGTTAAATATTATAGTTAAAAGTCTGAAGCCAATTAGTGGTTTATTCTAACTTGAAGCAAACTTTTTGTGAGAATAAATGTTAGAAAAAATAATTTTAAAAACTTGATGTGAAAAAATGCTAAAGGCTTTAGACGAAACTGCATTTTTACCTCTTAGAGTGAGACAACTGTCACTCTTGGGCTCTTGTTATGTGTTCACGTGGCTACATGTTTATGTAAAATTTGCAAAAGTTTGGTGTTTTGATTTGCAGTAAAACCATCATATCCTTCATTTGGATGTTCAGTTCATCATACTTCAGATTGTAGCTACAAAGGTGATGTTACTGTAAATTACAAACAAACTGTAATTTGTTTGGAATCTTTGCTTATTGCAGTTCCCATCACTTTAACACTTGTTAAAAACTGTCTTACCATTCTAAATAAAGATTCACTTTCATGGTTGATTTTGTATTATTTTAAATGAAAGCCTACCAAATTTTATAATCTGCATATGCCACAAAACCTTTTCTGGACCATGCCTCAAAAAGACCAGTTCTTCTCAGACGTACAGAATCCATACACCTTCTTCATGGCCCTAAGAAGTAACTGACACATACCATCATCACACTACATGTGGACTTTATACCCTACGAAACACACTCTATTTACTCTATGATACTGTGTCCCTCTGATTCCAATATATCACCCACCTTTGGTTTTCTCAGTGGAGCTATCTTTATCTCCTGGTTCTAATATTTTCTTTATTGCCTCATTCATTCATTCCTTCATTCATTCATTCATAGATAACATTGTGAGTCAGGACAGCAAGTGATGTGTGGTTTAAAGCTCTGTTCTGGGGACAGATTTCAGGTGCTATAGAAAGGAGATGTTACTCCTGTGACCCAGATGACAATTTAATTTCTAAGATGACTAGGATGTACTACATCATCATAGTGAGAAATATTTATTAGCCTCCTGAACTGACTGCCTGAATTTGAAAACTAGAGCCCCAGGTTTCCTCATATTTGTGAGTTCCTTGATATCTGTTTGGTTTGGGGTAAAGATTGGACACCTGATCCCTCTTGAGATGTTATTTATCTTGTGGCATATTTCGAAGGGAGGGAGGTATGCCTCAGACATGGATCTCTTTTCCTCTTTGAATGGGTCATTGAATGGCATTTGGAGTGTGAAAGTGGATGATGAGTTTGCCTTCCAACTCAGTGTGGACTCAGATACCTTCCAGCCTGAATGGCTGTTAAAGCAGGCTCTAAGATTGCCCTAAACTGGATCTCTAACATAGGTTTGTGTCTGATAGGAAAGCCTGACCTGTCATCCACCCTAATCCATTGGATTAAGGAGACATTCATCTCTAGTTATAAGGCAGGCTGCTAAGTATCAGGCCCAGATTCTAATCAGGCCTAGAGACTGCATGCACAATATTTACAGGTCAGTCTCTCTCTCTCTCTCTCT